TGTACAATCATCTGCCTTTGAATATCAAGTCGCTTTCATTCTTTCCCGCATTTCGCAAAGCTCTGAAATCATACTTACTGGAGAGAGCCTATATGCGGTGATTGACTTTTTTGTTGATGTTTAATCAAATCAACAATTTTGAATTTTAAAATTTTGATCATCTCACACACTGGTCAAAGGTCAAGTATCTAATATTTTATAACTCTTAAAATTGTATCTTTTTTATTCTAAAATTTTTTTTCAATTGTATGATTTGTATTGTGTATTTTTTATTATTTGTATGTTTTTTTTGTGCTTTTGTTTGTTGTGTAAATGCCTTGTCGATAAAGCTGTTTTGGTTTTTTGCACAATAAAGCTTTATTTATTTATTTATTAATCAATTCTTGCATATACTGTATAGAATATCGATAATATTGAGTCCATCCCTAATATACAGTCACCAAGACTCACTACAATACTTGATAAAATCAGTGCTGAAAAAAATGGTACTATTGAATTGTTGTCAAGGGTACTTATTATAGTATTTCTCATTAAGAGTCATAAGAATTCGAGATTTACTGAGAAAAAATGCAATAGAGGTAGATAGTAGGTTGAAATTTTATTAAGTTTAATACAAGGGGGACAACTATTACTTAGTTAGACAAGCAGCTATATTACAAAATATGTAACTAAGTAATTTTTATTTTTGTGTTTATTAAATTACAACTAAAAATTGTATAATTGTCCTTTCTTATTCACTATTAATATCTTTATTTATATTTGATCATGTGGCTTATTGTGAAATGTACCGTATGATCGAAAAAAAAAAACGGCGTCAAAGATGGCTAGGGAATGACAATCGATAATAATTTTGGCGAGGTCAATCTCTAGACGGCATTTACTAAACATTTGTTAAAAATTAGCACTAATTATAATATATGAAGATTAAAAAAGGATGGAACCTTTCCAGACCCACAAATCTATTTGCAACAAAAAATATTTTTTCTCGAATTTTAAACTAAAAATATAGAAAGATAGAAAAGACAATATTATCATAGACTGATGTCATTTCCCAGCCGTCTTTGACATCGTTTTTTTTTCGATCGTATGGTATTATTTATAATAGGTATACAGAAAAAAAAAATTTAGTTTTAAATTAATAATTTTTTAGATATTTCACTTTTAGTTTGACACTGTAGGTAAATTTAATATATTTTTGTATTGTCATTCTGCACCAATTATTTTTTATTAGTACCGTATGATCGAAAAAAAACGGCGTCAGCGATGGCTATGAAATGAACATTGCTGTCATTTCATATGTAAATTTATATGGGAAATGTCATCGATCGTCATTTCCCAGCCAACTGAACGCCGTTTTTTTTTCGATCATACGGAATAATAAGTAACATGTTTCTTCTATGTGCAATTCTTAGTATAGTATTATTTCTATATACAGTGTATTTTCTAAATAATTAATAATATCTATGGGTACTACTCGTATTTTGGATTCTTAAAATTATAACATAACAAATACTTTAATTGGTATTTCGAAAAGCCTTAAAGAGTGACTTTTTGACAATGAAATTCAATAGAAAAATTAAGTCAAGAATTTGAGTCTTCAGCAGAAGAGATCGTTTACGGTTGCTTGGTAATAAAAATGTACCTTCTAATTACTGTAGATTAGTATCTAGAATTTTAATAATTCCTTATATATTTACGTAATTTTTCCCAAATATTCAGATTTTTTTTCATTATTCTCAAGAAAGAACAATGATTTTGCATTATTCGATAAAAATAAGTGAACTTGTAACTAATATTAGCGTTATTGGTCACTTTTTTTTGTCATACCAGTACACCACATACATTCTCTTAGGTCCGTGAAATAAACTATGGTATTCAACCCAAACAGGAACCAATTTTTGTTATATAACCGAAAATTTTAATATAAATATCCAAATTTTGTTTGAAAAATTATCAGAACCTTTCCGATTTCATTCAGTACCAGATAACTTATCATTAAAATCTCCAAAAATGGCAAAATTCGTTACATTTTTGGTTGTTCTAGCCATAGCCTCATCCAGTGCCATCGCCATGCCATTCTTTGATCACGAACCAATCATCCAGAAGGAAGTTATTCCCATTGTGACCAAGCAAGTAGTACCAATAGTAACCAAGCAGATCGTACCAGTAGTAACTAAAGCTGTGATTCCAATCGTACCACCCGTTTTACCACACCCTCCTCTACATCATCATGTAGGACCTCACGAGTTCGCATTTGAACATGCTTTGGAACATGGACCTTTTGGATACGCCCATGGGTTCGGGTACCATCACGGACATCATGGTTTTTAATCGATTCTTGTAACAAGGAATCAGTGGCTTACCGGTGACGATTATGCTTGTTTTTTTTGTAAGTAGTTCATTTATTTGTCATGTACATAGGATGTAGAAATAGTATTGTATTGGGTTTAATGTGAATTTTTGGTAAAAATTGCTAATGTTAGCTTTAAAATTCATGTAGAATAGTGTCTGTCAAATATAATTAACTTTATAAGTTAAATTTTCAAAAGTTTGATCACGATTGTTTGAAAAAGGTGTATTGTAATTATTGTAAATACATACATATTTTTTATATAGCTACCTCTAATTATATCGAAAGAGAATATACTTTTGTAGAGTTTTTTATAATGTATTTATTAATTTTTTCTAATAAAGCATTTAAAATGTGCATAAAACTGTTTCATTTCTTAAATTTATACTATACAGGGTCCGGCAATAGTGCGTCGGATTTTTTTTTGTTTAAGTGCAAACCTAAAATATGTACTAGAATGTATTTCAGGATAATATTTTAACTTCTACAGGGTGGTTCAAAAAAGTGTGACTGGATCGGGATGATTTTTTTTTTAAATTGGAACACCCTGTATATTATTGCATTTTTGGCTTCTTTTCCGATCACTTTACATAATCCTAAGATAAATATATTATAGTAAATATATCTCAATTTTTCAGCCTTTCCTAAAGAAATTATTAAAAATACAAGAACTCTCCTGAAATCACAATTATATTATGCATTTACTTTAGATGGTCGGTATTTAAATCATACAGGGTGTTCAAAATTCTACGCCAAACTTTCTAAAATATAAGAAAAAATATAATACGGTAAAATCATAAAATATATATGTTTTCAATTTCTATGGGTTAATTTCCTATAGTTTTTAGTTGGAATTGCTTGGTCCTGTATTGCTGTGTATAGTATTAATGTATTTTTTTTTAGTTGAAACAATTTCAAGACCACAGTATTTTAGAAATATTACAAAGTTTACCTTTCACACAGCTCACAGCATATCTATACATACAAGTAAATTTCCCAAAAAATACCTATATCATTTTAATACCAACTTATGGGAACCATATTTCACATATTATTTAAATTAACAATACTATTATTGTTCTATTGAATAAGTCAAAACTCTAAATTGAAGTAACCTCGTCCATATCAAGATTTCTGAAAAAGATTAGCAATGAAACTAAGGATACATAAATTAAAAAAAAGTTTTAAACAACTAAATTAAGTACCTAGCCAAACACACATCAATGTTTCATTGACTTTTTTGGGCGTTTTACTACAAAGTTAACAGCGTAGAACAAATTACTGGTAGCTTTTTCATTATGAAATGGTTAATAACCATAGTTAATGTTTTTCCGTAAAAAAATAAATTGCTATCGAGTATAAACAAACGATGTATGTGTGTGCAACTGGGCTAAATGTAAAGTAATTGATCTAACCTAGGTAGATTTTTTACGTTCATCAATTACAGAGTATTAGGATTAGAGTAGTTAAAGGAATGAACTAATAAAATTTTTACAAAATAGTTTTTTAGTATACTGGGTGTCTCTTAAATAAGTGCCAGTGTTATAACTGGTAGTATATTTCTACGTTTTTCTGACGCCTGTCATTTACATAAGAAATGTTGAAAATTATTTTTTTTTGGAATTTTTCGGGGACTCTAAAAATCTTTTATTACTACAGGTTCATTCTCCTGAAATTCCTTGACAATAAATATACCGGATGTGTCTCCAATGTGGCAATGACATAAATTAATTGATTGCCGTTTTCAATTGTTTTTGGTCACTTCCTGTTTCACCGGAAATGACTACAACTTTTGCTTTTTAAATGGCACCATCGGTATATTTCCACTTTATTCGATAGAAAATGACACTGTGAGTAAAATGACATATCATATGCCAACTTTTGACATTTTCTAAATAACATCGTATCCTGGTCGGTTTTAAGATGGCCAAATCGTATGTTTTTAATTTTTATAATTTTTTTTTAATTATATTTCAACTTTTTCAAATGCAACAAAAGTGGCTCATTAACATATTTTTTGGAAAAAGCACTTTTTTTGAATAATTTGATTCCACCTACACTAATTTAATACCATACAGTCGTTATGAACCGAATCTTACAATTTCAAATAAACCATATGCGAAAATGCCAAAAGTTGACATATTATGATATATCATTCTATTCCACAGGGTATTTCCCATCCGCCTCTGTTCTTCCTCCGAGGGTATTCACCCTTCCAAGGTTAGGGTTTGGCCCTCCCTTTACCTATTTCTATGTCCATGGAATGTTGGGAAACCCTGTAGTATGATTCAAATAAACCTATTGATAAAAAAACTTTGACTCATAAAATGATTGGAGTCAAAATATTAAATAAAAAGCCTTTTTCAAAACACTTGGCCATAATTCCGAATTAATTATAAATAAAAATGATTCAAAGATTCATTATTCAATAATTATCGCAGATCATTGAGTTATATAGACGTACTTGAACATAATTCTACTATTCATTATTACTCTGTCGTGTTAATTCATGTGTAAAAATTTCTTACATCCCGAAAAATCGTAACAAAAACCAAGGTCCAACAAAGCACAAAACACTTCTTTTGAACCTAATTTACGTTAATTTTCTTTCGGCAAAATTTACATATAAAACACTACCAAAACATCGAAAATGTATCAGTTGTTGTTTGCCCATCTCAGCTTCAAGATGTCCATCAAATACTTTGCTATTTTCGCTACCATTTTGATGGTTACCAGTGCTAAACCGACATATCTAAGCGGGTATGACGTACCATTAGCTACAAGTTATAGTAACAGATACGATATACATCATTCAGCGATACCAATTGTGAAGGCATATGAAGCTCCACTGGTGACCAAAGTAGTTGATCCAGTCTACGGATATGGTGCACAGTATGGTGCGTATGGCTATGATGCCTATGGTTATGGTAACGGATATGGTAACGGATATGGTTCTTATGGAAATGGATATGGGTCCTATGGATACGGTCATGGCTGGTAATGGAATCCAAAGAAAATAATTTTTAGATTTTAATTTATTAAAAATATACTGTTTAAATATTATTATTAAGTACATACTATTTATGTTATTAATAATATAGTACAAATAAGTAAATAAAGCAAGCTTTAATTATTATTTAAGATCATTATAAATTATGTGAATACAGAGTAAAATTTTATAAATGTATATTATGATTTTTACTATTTCCTAAAATAGACAATTAATTACGTATCCTGATGTAGATTACTAAAAAGGTTAAGCCCTAAAATTAAACAGAGTAGTCCTAATAATTTATTAATTAAAATTCAGATTGCTAGTTTTATCTTTATTTTTGTGACTCTATTTCAAATTTCAATAGATATAACTACGGTAATCGCAAAACATTTTCCGATGCACGTTATCAATCAAATCAAAATTGACACTAATGCCTATAAACCAGACTAAATGAAATTTTGGCAGAAATATTTGAATTTGTTGTATAATTTAAGATACCGAGCAGCTCTTCATTTTACTTTATAGAGCAAATGATTGTAACAGATATTTTATTTAGATTAAAGCTGCAAAAATAAGTTTAAAGCGAATTTTATTATCGCCATGTTGGTCACATTGTGCCGCGATCAGCAACGTTGTCATTTATTATTTGACTAATTATCATAATGTCAATCATTATTTTGTATAATATCCTGTTGTTGTTGAATCTTCGGGAGTAATTCCCGTTTTTTGCCGATTTTCATAGTCTCTTTTTAAAAATTGTACTTTTAAGCACAAACAGTTGTTTTAAAAACTAAATTTTTGAATTTTGAATTTTTTTTTGTGTGTTGAAAATATGCCGAAGCATTTAAACAGTCGAAGCAAAGAGCTTATAGCTTGCCTGATAAACTATTTTGAATGAGAACTTGACAATAAATCAAACAATAAATGTCCTTTATTACACTTGACCAGGGGCGGGAAAGTGAAATAGCAAAAGCGGTTCCACCGTTTCCACGGAAATCTCAAATAAAATAGTTCCAGCCTTAGCCACTAGGTGGTAGTGCAATTAATTTTTAGGTTAAGAAGTTGCTACTAGTTATTGCCAGATGGCGTTAAATTAGAATTTTTTTTGTAGTTTCCATAGTTTCCAACGGCCATTGTCATATTATTGTCAAATTCTCAAAAAATATCATAATATCAAACCTCATAATATTATCAAAATGTTTTTCAAACTATAATTTGTTATATGTGTTTTAATTAGACAATTCCTTTTGTTTGTGGCCCTAAAAATATAATGTAAGTCTTTTATTTTTGCCATCATTTAAGTACCTATTTATATTTACTCCATTTACAAAACTTTGGGCGTATTACGTTGGTCTTGTTTTATTATAATAAACTATGTTTAAATATTTGAGTTATAAATGAAAACTTTAAATAATAAATAATATTTCACATGTTTGGCTTTAATTTTATTTAATAATCGTATAAATTATAGGTACTGTTAAATCTTATTTTTTACACATCACAACGATACTTGTTATTAGTATTGTTGAATTTGTGTAAAAAATAAGATTTAATAATCAAATTTTATTATTTTAGAGTAAAATTCAATAAATAAGCTCATTTAAAAAGCCCGCGCTTCGACCCATTTAAAACAAGCCCTGCTCAATAGATGGCGCCACTTCTGTAGGACCATTTTTGAGTATGGCAGAGTCCATTCTTTTTCTAGCTAGGTATATTCTTTGCACTTGACTGCAATGAGAGAAGTATGTTTGATCGGTAAGCACTATACCACTTTCAAAATGATTTCTACTTATTTTCGATTTGTAAGAAGTAGCTTCTGCTTTTAATTTAAATATTTCTTCTTTGAGTGTTGGTGACTACTGTTCATATCATAACTCTATGTTTTTATTTCATTTTTTATTTTTAATATAAAATCTTTTTTTATTTCTATAATATATAATATAAAACAATGTACAAACAAGGTACTTCTTAGATCTGATATTGGATTGAATGGCTGAAGGTTAAGCCATCTGCAAAATGTCTTATCCCTCGCTTTTTTCTAATATCGTGTCGATATATACACTTTGCTAGATCCTAATCTCCCATTGTATTTTAAATACGCAATTACTATTGCAAACGTTAGCATAATTACTTAAACGAGATGCTGTTATTCTTTCTGCTAGTACTTGTTCTTCTCGTTGGTATCTTATCTTTATTACGAAGCCATTTGCATCTTACATATAGCTATGAGGGATTATTCAATAGATCTTAAGGCTCATTTGAATAATTGTCAGTTTAATGATTTTTTTGGAGAAATCATCCAAACTGATCAGTGTAGATTATCTCTAATAATAATTTTTTTTCTCCGGATTAAATATGCCCCAGGGTACTTATAAAATTATGGCATTATTTCATTCAAAAATATTTAAAATATACAGGGTGTTAAAAATACTGTATCTAACTTTAGTGGATGATTCTATATAAAAAAAAATTACAGTAAAAGCATACAGGAATTTCAACAAATGATATAAAAAACTATATTTTTTTACGTTGACACCCTGTATATGAAGTCGACTCTTTTAAATAAAATCTTCGATTTTTGTTCCTTTTATTTTTAATATTATCTTTTGATTAGGTTTAATTTCCATTGGCGTAACTACAGGGGTGCCCGGGGGTGCCGGCCCCCCCGTATTATATTAACAACTTTTGTTTTTTAATCCAAAAAAAAGTTACCAATTTTCTCAATCAAAATATTTGGTCCTGAAAAGGACCTTCGTTTTCCCATGTTCGTCAAGGTAGGTAATGGGTAAACGGTAAAAAAACAGGATAATGAAATTTAAAAAATTACAAAAATTGTTCAAAAGTGCCTCCCTCTTGCATTAAACCAAACGATCATAAAATCCCCTCCTCACATTGGATAACATATCTGGGGTGACAGTGTCAAAGGCATTAAATATTTTCTGCCTTAACTGCTCCAAGTTTTGAATTTCTTCATGGCCGTAAATTTTAGATCTTATGTACCCCCATAAAAAGAAATAATTCACCGAGAAGTCAGGTGAAATTAAACGTCAGTCTAAACAAAACTGTCAGTTTTGAAAACTTGTCAAAATTTGGACACACGCTAAATGGACTTGATTTTCCTATGTCTCGAAGTCTGTGGACTTTTCTGGATAATCTCACAGTAATTTAATAGATTGCTCGTCATATTATATCAGCTCGTAGGAGATTAGGAAAAAAAAGATATTTATAGTATAAAAAATTAATTTATTTAACAAAATTTAATTAAAGATGTGACAAAATAGTTACATTTCTATTAGTTCTATCGGACTTTTTTCGACTATATAAATCTTTATTTTTTGTAAACTTTAATGCATAAAATATTTTCAATCTAATAAATAATTTAATGATATAAATAAGAGGAAATTTCTCACATAGGTGGTCAAATTCTATAGTTTTCATTATATCAAACAGCCTCTGAATGTTTTCTTCAGTGCAAAACTCATCAAAATTTAATATAAATAATTTTTCCAGCCTGTAAATAAAATTAACAAATTTTTCCATTTTCATGATCAAAGGCTTTTAAATGGGTAAATAATTTCGAGTTATCCAGAGATTCGGATTCTTTCGCAAATTTTAGACAAATATCACATTGATGTATTTGAAGACCCTTTTTAATGATGTAGTCAAACATAATTAAAGGCATTTTGAGTTGAAAACATTTCTCAGAGGCTGTTTGATATAATGAAAACTCGAGTGAAAACTATAAAATTTGACCACCCATGTGAGAAATTTCCTCTTATTATCATTAAATGATTATTAGATTGAAAATATTTGATGTATTAAAGTTTACAAATAAAGATTTATATAGTCGAAAAAAGTCCGATAGAACCAATAGAAAGGTAACTATTTTGTCACATTTTTAATTAAATTTTGTTAAATAAATTAATTTTTTATACTATAAATATCTTTTTTTTCCTTCTAAATAAACACATTTGCATCCCATTTTAAATAAGATATACAAATTACCAAAACTTAGAAATAACAGTTCAAAAGTTCAACAAAAATCCTACACGCGTTTTTAAAAATAAACATATAACCACGCACTATGTCATTCCAGCAAGCGAATACGATACAGCATAGGTTTCCGGACTAAACGACTGGTGTATTTACACCACTCAATAGGCGTGTCGGGTTTGCCGAGCGGTTTCCGATGCAGTCGCTTTCTTTCGCATCTGTTATAGGTAATTTGTGGCTACGTATTAATTTTTATTTGCTTGTGATGCAGTAAAACTGACGTTTTCTAGTTTTGTTTCGAAAATTTTTTTAGAAAATTTGTAGGTATTTAAGTAATCTAGGGGAAGACGGTTTGATAACCAGGTCTATGAAATTTAGTGATAGAGAAATTCATGTAAACGTTTTATTCAAAAAATGTGTTTTTTAAATTATTTTTCATTTTTAAAAAAACAAAAGCACTAGCCCCCCCCCCCAGGCCCATCCCAGGATAAATTGCTAGTTGCGCTAATGTTAATTTCATACTATTTTTTAATTTTTAAATAGAGATAAAGATCTAATTTACAGTGCTTGTCAACCATAAAATTTATTTTTAACACCTAGTTTCTCATTTATAACATAATAATTACATTAACATCATATTAACCTTAATAAATCATTAATTTATAAATATCTTACCTGTTTATAATGTTCATATGTTAAGTGGTTGGCAATAACACACTTATATTTTTTCAAATTTATTTAAAAATAAAAGAACTTGTTCATGCATTATGACGTAGGTTACCTATCTGTATTAAACAACTATTTAATACATTACAAAATGTAGGTACGCTTTGTAGGATTTTTGAGCAATAGTTGTTAAGTTGTCAACCTTAAAATATAACAAAAACGTTCTTTATAGTACTTTATAGTACGATTTCGAAATTGTTTAGCAATAATATTCGTGTATTAAAATGTGGATTATACGTCAACAATGAATGGGAACCATACGCTATACCGTATAGGTTTCTTTTGTTGTGTAAACAAATTTTTGGATATAATGACA